TTTTTTTTTTTTTTTTTTTTTTTGAGATAATTAAAATTTTGGATCAAAAATTTATTTCTAACATCTTTATATAGCTCATCTTGTAATTTCAAATACTATTTTACAAATTTGATACAAATTTAAGTTTAAAATTTTTTTCTCAGTTATCTTATTCAATATTATTTTATATTTACATCAGTTATCAAAATGTTATTAAAATTTAAATTTAACTTTTAAAACAAGAGAATAAAAATGAAAGATAAAGGAAACTTTGCCAACAATCACTGTTGATTTCATTTTTGGATTTTTAACAAAAACTTATTTATTCAATTAGTTTTATTTAATTGTAGCTAATTAACACCATTATAGATTACATCCAGTAAATTTTTTATAATTATTTTATATAAATTTTTTTTATTAAACTAATGGTAAATTTTCAATACTTCTGTATACTTCCAATAAACATAACTTTTAAACCAAAAAAAATATTAGTATTAAAGTGCAACACATGTGTATCTTCCTAGTTCCCTTAATTCACCAAGTCGTATACAGTCATCAATATCTATGTAGTCCATTACATAATTCTTGCAAAATTCATTTTGACCAATGAGCACATGCCAAACAATGACAAAACTCGCCTTACTTTGTTAAACACTATCCACATAGAAGGTATATCAATATTTGTAAAAAGCACTTTCAAATACCTGTGATTCTTCATGTTGCTGCATGGAGCCTTTTGCCTCATCCTTCTTGGCACGTTTGGACCGATCAGCCAGTTTAGATTGATATTTGGACCGCAGATCCGATGGCAAAAGTTCCAACGGAACCACTCCTTCAATCCCATGTTCAGTGAACTGCAAACACAATTATTTACTTGACATTCAAATGCAATTTCTTTAAAAGCTTTAGATACTCATATTTCCATGAAAAAAATTACTTACTCTAGAAAATCCCTCCAAATCTTGTCGAGCTGAAAACCTCAAACCTTTCCAGCAGTACACCTGCAGTAGGCAGCATCAGCAACACTTTGTTTTTATAAGAACTGAAAATTCAGTAGTTAAAACTTGTATGCTACTCCACAATACTTGCATGCCTTTCTCACGACTATTCTCCTTAGCAGCTTAGCGCATAAGATGTCATGAAGATAATGATAATTACTACGTACTTGGATAAATTTCTGTTAGTGCCAAATGTTGGGCACAGTAACAAGACTTTTTAAGGGTTACAATTGGTCGAGTTACAAAGATGAACGATAAAAGTCATGCAGAAGAATAATAAATCCAGTAATAATAAAAAAATGAACAAATGTGAAATTAATACTGACTCGATTATTTTTGTGATGATATTCCTCTTCTATTCCAGCAGATTCATCCATCTGTCATTTCATGCACAAACAAATGATCGCTATAGAATGCTCATTTTGCAGCTACTATTAGCAGATCATAAAAAACAGAGCAAACCAAAACACTGTAGAAAATAGTTCGGACTCAGGAAAGGGGCTATATAATTGATCTCACGTCTTCAGCCAATGGTTTCCAGTAATCCATGATGGCAGGATTACGAACACGTTGAGGATCTGTTAACGCATTCTGAAGCAATAAAACAATCAATTGTAATAGTATTAGAAGGCAATTAAATTTCAGCCCATGACGGTGATATTCAACATGGTTGAAATTAGCAGAAAACTAGATTTCACTTGAACCATATTTTCTGAGAAGAATTTATCAATTGCTATTACATGTGCTGGATACGATTTAACAGAATGTTATAGAAAGCCTGAACTAGCCTACATCTGCATTCAGCTACCCAAACTTGTTATACTTAAAAAACCTATAATTATTAAGCTTAAAATATGTTCAAGATGCAAAGTCAAAGGAACAAAAAAAAGAACTTTATAAGTACATATTGAAGAGCCATACGTAGTACATAGTCCTAAAGGCATCAAGTAATAACAGTAAATGGAGTGAAGAAACAGGAGAATATATAAACGAGATTCTCCTTTAGTCGTATTCCTAGATCTTATAGTTTACTGGGAAATTCTTCTCTAACAACGCTTTCTTCAGTTTTAAGAACATAAATACTTCTTGATTTACCTAATACTGGAAATGAAAATTGGGATGAACTGCAAACACCAGTGTTCATGGGTTACCGGTGTCTCGTGGGTTTACTTTTGAACTATATGGGCACCCTACATGTATCTTTATTGTGTACCATTATAAAGTATCAGCTTAACGGAGATATTAAAAACTATAGCAGCTAAAGATGTGTGCAGACGCACTTAGATTTGAAATCAAACTGAAACCAATTTTAACTAACACCATAAACTAACATATCAACAGTGCACTGATCAACATGAGTCAATAGATGATAAAAAGTTGCAATAAAAAGTTCATTACAAGCTAATATTATATCAATGAGCGGATAGGCACTAGTTTTAATACTTTTTTGTTTCAAGATAACTAAATAGTTAATAGTTATAGTAAAAAACAATAACAATCTTAAACAGATTTCCTTAATAACAAAAAGATCAAAAAATCAACACATTTTAGAAACAAATACAACAGAGGAGGTGTGAAACGCACTGGGTTCTGGTCTGCCCATTTCCACAGCTGAGATAGTTCCTTACTTCCCAGTCTCCACCTAGGTCGACTACAATATTACACAATAGAAAAGCAAAATGAGTAAAAAAATCCAGTACACACCAAGTCAAGTAAAACTAGTACTTTAGCCTCTTAAATTTCAATTTTGCTAGTGCATGTGATGTGTCCTTCAGGCTCAGAAGTTAGACCTATACCTACTTCTACAGTCAGATGACATACATCACAGCAATAGTCAACAATATCAGCACTCATCATCTTCAGTACATGGCAACCACCTTTAACTAACTCACTTTTTAGCCTCCTACTAAATCAATTATATAGGTTCAACAATTTTCTAAAACCAAAAGACATATTGACAAGAAACTTATCTACGTGGAATTTCCAAATCATGGACGTCCAAAGATAAATTTGATATAACGAACCTGCTAAACATCATTAATATAGACGAGCAGAATTAGAAATGAATGAACTTCTACCATATAATATGATATCCATCAATATCTTAGTAATAATATTCAGTTGATTACCGCTTTTTGCCACCTTCTTGAGCAAGCTTTTTTTCTATTGGTTGTTTCTCAAATGGAGGGCAACCATCGCGCTTCCACCAAACCTGGAAAAGGGGAAAAAGGTCATGACAAATACAAAAGATGGAAATTTTCATGTAAATATTGCAAAAGTAGAATGATTTTGCCACAATTAGCAATAGCGCTTACCCAGTTCCTTTCACGCTCCAAAATATGCTCAATGCTATGAAGAAATTCTTTCCCTTCAGGAGGTGTCATTTCAAGAATATTCTTGACTCGTTCTTCATATGATATTATTTCATCCTTCCGCATAACACAACATAAAGAAATTATTCATTCTTTCAGGGAAGAAAAGAGATCAACAATTTCAAGAACAAACTAAGGTACACGACACAAATTCTAGGCAATAAACGAACTGAAGGGTGGAAAGGGGTAAAACAAGGAACTTCTATCGATCTACAAAAATTGTTAACTAAATTAAAAATTCAGAACTAACCATTGTGTCAGATGGCAGGTCTTTGTCATTTTTCCCAGGGGCCTACGGTTTGTACGATAGTGGTAAATTATTTCATAACAATAAGTAGAGAGAAAATTATAACTGAACTTGAAACATTATTTACTTTTAAGGTACCAATAAAATAAAACCCATTCTGCATCATTGTATAGAACATATTTACTAAAAAGATGACTTGACAGGGGAGATAACAATTATGTCTTCACTTAGATCTTAAACAGCAGTGCAAGATCTTCATCAAACATTCAGTCTGAATTAAAGATATACCTCAAACACGAGAATTCTAACAAAAATATATTTGCAATATGTAAGTTAGCTTGTTGGAAGAGGGAACAAATTATGCCTTGACCTACACCCTAGACCATTACACTGATCCTGACCCAATTACTCTTAGTCCGATTGAAGATATAATACAACTATACAAGGATTCTAGTACTTCCCAGATTAAAAAAAGACGAAAATGCATCAAGTAGACAGCTTGAGCCTGCATACTTACAATACTTGCAATATATAAATCATTCACAGGGAAAAGGAAAAGAAAGATAGATAATTAAAAAAAAAAAAGAATATTTAATTAGCAAACACTTCGAAAGAAGCATTTATAATTAACAATTAATTAAAAACTATACGTACTAAACAGAAATACCTTCAAATAATTGAACAAAATAAGGCATTGAACCAGAACATGTCGGCGAAAACTAGGGTCCTTCAACTGCAAGATAAGTTGAATAAGATGTATATAGAATCAAGAGAAACGCTTGAAGCAAATTGCTTTCTTGAATGACTTTTTCCACACTATAATGCTTACCTCCAGACCCATTAGATTACTGCTTGTGAGATACTTTATACTAAAGTTTGACCCTTCATCCTCAAGGTTAATAGCACTGCCCTCTTCATCACTCAAAGGCTGAGCCTCAAACGTATTCAACACAACCTATTATATTGAACACAACCTAAGAAAAAGGATGATGACCAGTTCTGAAGGATTCAGAAATTTCTTAAAAAAAATAGAAATTAACTATTTACCGCCAAACTGGAAGTAAATTTAGTCCACTTTGCAGTAGCAGGAGCAGGAGCAGGAGCAAGCAAGGCAGGATTAGAAAAGAATTCCTAAAACCAGATAAAGGTGGGATACGTAATAGACATCAGTAAAGTCAATATCGGGACATCAATGAGGAAACAGATACAATGACTTCCACTAAGAATGGATTTGTCAATCTATACTTGAGTATCACCATTACTATTTAATTTATATCAGTTTTCTGCTTTTTGTATATCACAAAAAAGTCATCCAACCAAAAAGAATCTGAGATAAACATCATCGCGATACAAGCACATGTCTTGCAAATTTATATCTCATGCTTAAGTACTCATTGCAAGGTAGCAGATGAAGCCCAGTTTGTCCTATACATAACTAACTCAATTCAGACTTACATCTTTTGAAACATTAGTTAACTGCGGTGAAGTCTGTCTCTACTGAAAAACAGTGGTCAAGAAAGTTTCTCCTAATTATGTACTCCCTCCATGGCTCCATACCAACAAAAAGACAGGCATAAAGTGGAGATAAAGTTGGTTAAATCTCTACTTTCCTTTGGATATCCCAATCCAAAATTGTTTGTACTAGCCTTCCAAGGTTCTTTATTTCCAATAGCACAGTTGAATATGGGGCCTAGGTGTATACAAAAAAAAGTAAAACTATTTACTTACTAAATATGACAGCATATTTATATATGTTTGGTAGGATTTGTGACTCATATTTTTGGGAAAAAGGAAATACTAAATACTCTAGAATACATGTCCGAATAAAATCTCCAGCCAACCGTGTAACAAATTTAAATCAACTCACAAGAAACAACTATAAGTGATAGCAGGAGATAAGAGTAACACTACCAAAATAATTCAATATTGATTACTGGAAATAACAAAGAGAAATGCAGCTAACGAGTTGACTGTTAAGTGTTGTTAATCAGCTTCCAGGTTTTCGTTTCTTCTATACTTAAATTTATATCAAATAGCTACTTTTTGTTTTTCATATATCCTTTTCCAGGGCATACAAGACATAAAAGAGAAAACAAATGAACCCTGAAAATCAGTAAATGTTTTCAGTTACAGCCAGTGCGTGTGTAGGGAAAGCAGTAAACAGCCATCACATCATACCAGAGATAGATAATGATAAAACTAAAAGTTACTATAATGATAAACCTAACTTCTCGGCTAGACTTGTCGAAAACTTTTAGAAAAGGGAAATATTGCAGACAACTAATCTTTCTTTTATACTTACCTGTAAACTCCAAAAGGTTTTGTAAAAGTTGAAATCAATAGTACTACCTGAAACCAAAACAATTCAGTTATATCGAGTTGTGCATAAGACATTAGTTCAAACAGCAGCAAGGGAGGGAAAGAGAGAGAGAGAGAGAGAGAGAGAGAGAGAGAGAGAGGAAATAAATGGTTAGAAGTTAAAACAGAATTACATTCTGGGGTATCTTTCTCATATTTTGTCTGATTTGATGTATTGAAAACTCCTTTGATATTGACAGCTGACAGAAAAGGTACAACGATTAACTGATAAAGTAAATGCTATTTAAGTATAAGATGATTCAATAGGATATATCATATAAAGAGGAAAAAAGTACCAGAACGTTCTGATAGTGGAAAAAAGTGAGCAAGGAACATTATAATTCGTCCGCAGAACACGACGTCATTGGCCTGTAATACAACATTAAATGCACAAATGAGATCGCTATTGTTATATTGCAAAAAATACTACATCGAATGACACAATTATGTTTTCTGCAAGTACGATTTTGTTGGATTTGATGCAACTTACATTTTGCAGTCTTCATTTATTCGCAGTACGAATACAATTCAGAAAGGTATTTAATTTTGTCAGATTTTCACACAAGGACTTTCTATAGAAAAACCCAGCAGAAATTGAGTGGATTACATGCCCTTTTCTATTTTCTACAAATATTCAAAGCAGATAAAACAAGTTACAAGAAAGCCTAGTGCTTTGAGAATCCAAATATAAATTCAATTTGCTTCACATCAAATCCGTATGCCAACTCCCCTTTAATTGATCTCTCATTCAGTGAAATATAGTAGAACCAATTAGTCACTATACTAAATATCTCAACCGCCAAGAAAAAAAGTCAGAGCAAAAAAGTATTCAAAATAAGCAAGTAGTACATGACAAAGTAAGATTCTGTAGAAGAAATTTTAGTTTAGTCGTAACAGCGTAACTGGAGAAGATCTATGATATATGGCAGGAACCTATACAGGGAAGCATAATTAATGTAATCATTGCAAACCAGTTAAGTATCAAGGGCCAATTATTAACAATAGAAAGTAAGCGCAGGCTTCATCTTGAAATTAACAAAATATTTTCTCGACTGTTCAAAGATATAGTGGGATGACTGATGAGGAATGACAACGATAAGATAAGTTGCAAAACATGAAAATAGAGTTGTGAAAAATAGATAGTAGATTATACGAACATTCCAGAATCGAACCTTTGATAAACGACGAAGAAGTTGATTGCATGTCCTCAACATCACAAGTTTTCCTCTCGCGAAAAGCTCTGGCTATATAAACATCATTTGAAGAAAAAAAAAAGCTTAAAAAATTGGCAAAGAACAATAGAAAACTCATCAAAGGAAGATGTGGATATGTGTCAAGATGCAATGTGGATGCATTAAAAAACTTAGAAGCATTCTAAACAATGTAACGTACCTTGCCAAGAATATCTTGCTTGCTCTCTATGTAACCAAAAATATCTTTACAATTTCTCATTGTAGACATTTCTGTCAAATCTTCCAAAAGCTGAAAAATCATGCCGCCTTCAATATGGTCTTTCTCACATAGGTACAAAACAATGTCTGCAGTAAAAGTAGTAGTGGCATGAAAGAGAGGACAGTCAACTACATAAACCACCTCAGCTACCTTTAGTTATAATTCAGCATTTAAGAGCGGAAAACCGGCCTTTGAGCCTGTCAAACTAGTAGTCAGTTTTTTCTTATCTCTAATATGGCTCCTAGTCTGTTCAGCTAGTTGAAGTTTGGATAAAAACTAGCCATGGACTTATATGGAAAAATCATGGCGAACGAAATGAAAGCTAATCAAATGGATTGCATAAAAAAAGGATGAGAATACAACAGTATAACATGCCTAATGTGTCTGATAATGAAGTGTTGACAAAAACCGAATCAGATGTTACCGATTTTTGTCATCACATCTACGAGAAATATCAGCAGGAGTGCAAAAGCAGTTTCTGATAGTTCCAGAGATGGTTTTGGATAAACACTCTTAAACCGTACATTCAGTATTTTTACATTTTTGTTCGTTTTTAAGAAGAAAAAAAAAATGATTACATTGAAAAAAGGTAAAAATGTACTACAATATGGAGGAGGTGAGATTTCCTGGCAGACAGGTATGTTTACATTTCAAGCCAAGTGCCATAACCTCACTACCATCATGACCATATTTGATTCAATTTGACAGCAAACATGAACATCCCTGTTCCGCAACGATATTCTCAGTTATAACTTTTTCAAGCTACTAAGTACTTAAATCGCATATGAAGAGGTCCATCTAACTTCACCTCTAGTAACATCAGAAGAAAAGGTCCATCAAACTTCACCTCTAGTGACATCAGAAGAAACGTCAAAATAATAATAAATTAGCAACATTTAGAACTTTATATTTTTCCACCTACGCATTTCAAGGAATGTGTCAGAGAAAATTTGCAAAATCGATGCAAATGCTCCACATTCGCCAGAATAACGCTGATTATTACAAAATCCAAATCTTATCCATTTCAAAATAGATCAATTGAATCACATCGGTAACTGGTGAGTTAACAAGAGGTCTTCACATAGCTTGTCTGCTTTGAAGTGGCACTATTTATCTAGTACCAAACAGTACTGCTCTCTGAAAAATCTTCAAAAGAATTCCTTTTGTTAAATGCATAAAACATCCCTGGAATTTCAATAAACCATCCAGAACGCAAAAAGAAAGTAAAAAGCTTTGCACAGTCCATGAAGAAAAAATAAAATGCTAGAGGTGTCACTTAAACTTTGCACTCACCAAGAAGACGAGGAATTCGCCCAGGACGAGTTTCCTTATCAGCAATTGATTGACCGTATTGCATGATTCCCTCACCTGACTGCACTGCAGCTGACTGCGACAAGATAGCAAGTAAATATACAATCTACTAAGTAAAGTTTTTAACATCTAGCTACATGCAGGTCATCGAAGAGAAACCAAATAAAACTCACCTAAATACACAACTAATAAATCGGACTGATATGCATTGATGTACATAGAATTAATAAGACAATAAGGAAGTTCACTGCCTCATAGAATATTAAATCCTACAAAAGTTTGACCTTTTCAAATATAATACCGCATAAGTAAAACTAAAATAAATATTTACATCGAGGAAATTGCAACATAGAGATCAATCTGGCAGGCTGACGTGCAGCCTAAGCAAAAAAATGCAATATCCTGAACGCACAAAGCGACAACATCTACATTCTTTTATGAATCAACTAGAAATTTCTAATTATTCATAGAACATTTACAACCTAGATATAAACACCAATATCATCAAGCAACAAAAGCACGAGGCAAATGGTCAATGCTGTCAACAATACACTGTCAGTAGCAGTCACCACAGATTGAGCTAGCTTCGATTGCCTATGATTTCAACACCAGATAACAATTGTTGTTCTGTACAAGTTTATCCAGCAGTTGGCCCTAAATTTGCCAAACTCAGGAGCAAGTAACCAAACATTAATATGGCACTTCTAGGACTCTCAAGTCTTTTACATCCAAAATACTTGTAATGAGAGTGAGATCAGAAGTACAAAAGCAAGAATGCGTGACTGCACATTACCACCAGCTCTTGTAACAAGGCCCGCAGAATATTTTCCAACAACTGATTTTCATCTTGAACAAGTTTCACTAGCTTCTGCAAATACAGTAAAGAATATAGACCAAATATTAAAACAAAAGAAATCATTAAAAAGTACTACGAACAATAATAACAGAAATTCAAAAGATAAACAGCACGCCGAATTTGAAATAATAAAGCAACAAACACCAAACACTTTATAAGCAAACCAACGGTTTCTCCTTTGTAGGGCTGATCCGAACCTAAGAGAAAACGTGAACTCCAAAAGACTAAGGTTCTTTATGTTCCTAATCTAATATACATATACAGATATATTTTGACAAACCTGAGGTTTTATAGCTTGTTGCACAGTCTGAAGAGCAAAATCTTGAGGCGGCCCCGCTTGCAAAATTGCCTTCCTGAATAAATCCTGCAAGATAGTAACCATTCCACAAATTAGCCTGGGAATTTCCACCATAGATTACAAGTGGACAGCCACAGGTGGAACATAGTGCTTGCGTTTTGAAAAGATAACACGAGCGCATGACGATATCAGAGAAAGGGAGAAGGGCTAACCATACTCTCTCTGCGCACTTGTGCTCGACTCCAGAGTAGATTGGGAGCGCTCGTTAGTCGTTCCTACTGGCTACTGCTTGACTTTAGTTAAAAAGGAAAAGGGAATTGCTGCTATTCACGCCCCTTGATACCTACCGCCTACATGCCCTATTACCTTTTTGTAAAAAATAAAAAATAAAAATAAAAATAAAAATGAGTCTCTCTCTTTCCTTCTCGTCGCACCTCCGAGGATTGCTATTTACTGCCCCTATTACTAGTCACCGTCCCCCGTTTATGAAAATACCTTTTACTATATTTTTTTGTTTTCTCTCTCTAACTCTCTATCTCTCTAAAACCGTAACTTCAACGACTCGTACGCACGTCAAAAAAATCCCGAAAAAATGTCGAAAAAATCC